CTGTCGCCGACTCCCGTGGCCTTCGCTTTTTAATGTCCCAAAGGTCCCAAAGGTCCCAAGGGTCCCATTTGTTCGGGCGCCATTTGATGAGTTCGGCGGGAGACAAGCAGCACTCAATATGAATGATCAGCAAGTCTCCTTTATTGGCAACTCCAAACTCCCTATATAACATCAATAATTAGGCTCCTACATAGTGCAAAAGCAAGCTCATTATTGGGTATTTCGTTTAAGGACAACTCCACCTAGTTCCACCTTCTTGTGGTCGTTCATCTGTGCTGAATCCACATTCTTCTGATCACAGTGTCCTGTTCTCAGTTCACAGTTATCACTAAGGTCTTTCTGACTTTGCAACATCTCATACCAACTACACTCTACTGTTGTTTAATTCTTTCTCAGCTAATTGCTGCATGGGAACACGACCTTTGTTAGCTAGCCACTCTTCCACACTGTTGAGCTTCGGGAGCCTCCCGGGAAGCACCAGCCCTCCCCAGCCCACCCTTGGTAGCACTTTTTCTTTTCTCTCTGCTGACAATTTTATCCCCAAAACTGCCGTGGGAACGTTGTATCCAAGCTCATCCTCCAGCGCTGCACTTCCCTCCTGTGAATTCCCTGTGCAGGGAATGTGTCTGTGCTTTTCCCTGCTCTGTTCACTGACAAACAAACCTGAGCCCGTGGGACTGTCAGAGCTCCTTCATGCCATGAAATCAGGTTGTGTTTCTCATGGCATGTTCTGGAGGAGCTTTTCTTGGTGTGTCTTGTGCTGCTGGAAATGACACAAGAGCCAGGAGGGAACAGAAGCTGCTGCTGCCCGTTGGCTCAGGGCCAGGGAACCAAGTTGTGCTCCCGGGCAGTTGGGCCCTGCTGGAAGCAGAGCCGCGTTTCCCTTGAGCAGCTCAAGCTTGTGACAGCTCCAAACAGGAAACCTCAGCAGAAAACTCTTCCTCCAAACTCAGCTGCTTTCCCTCCTGCAGCTGTTTGGGAAAGAGCCTCAAAGCACAGACTCTGCTGGGAGCCATTGGTGCATTTCCTCCCTCCCGGCAGCAGCAGCTCCTGAGCCCTTCACGGGCTCCTGGCCCTTCCCAAACCCTTCAGCTCCCTTTCAACTCTCAGCAGTCACTAACACAGGTATTTCGTTAATATTTAAGCTGCATGTAAACTTGTCTTTTTCTCTCCTCTCTATCTTTTTAATCTCCTCTTTATCTCCTTTAATCCCGTCAGCACCAGTAGGATGGGGCTGGAGTCTTGGGGTGGATGTGGGATGAACTGAGGATCCAGCAGAGAAGGGCAAGGCAGAGGGGAGAGGACTCAGCCAACCCTTCTCCTGCTCTCTCCTCCCCCAGGCTCCAGCTAAAGCAAGTCAGACTGGAAAGGATCCCACAAATGCTGTGTTCTCCTCCCTCTGAGCTTGTCTGGGGATCCTCAGCTTCAGCCTGGTGCAGTGGCTGAGATTCGCTAATTTGAGTTTTTTGGCTAATGCACTAAATAATGTGGTGGGTTTAGCGCTGGCTGAAATCTCCAGGGCACTTACTCATTTCTCACTGTGAGATATGGACTAGGAGAAGGGAAAACCAGGCTTTAAACTTAGAAGGAATAAAGGAACTTTATTAACAGGACTACAAGAATGAGAAACCAGAATTAAACTTTCAGAACACCTTTCCTCCCCCTGTATACCTTTTTTTTTGTTTTAACTGACTACGTAGAGATAGAATTTAGGATGCTACAACAGTATTAATTTTACAATAGTTTTTATTAGATTTTGTTATGTCATGGAGACTTTTTTACAAGGAACAGATTTTTTGTGGTTTTTTATTTTTACAAATTGCAGCTGCCTGGCAAGAAATTTTGCTATCATGACATTTTTCTCATTTTTACAGCCCTCCTAGAGGTGTGTCTATGGGTTATGAATTCATGGGGTGTTATTTTAAGGATGAGTTGTTTGAAGGCAAAAGTTTTCTTCATT